CTGTGTGTTGGAAAATTTGACGGCAAGAAACATGATTTTACTCCAATCAAAAACACATTTGCTTATCTTTAAACATCTTAAATCATTAAGCTGCATCGACTTTATATAACAATGTTTGAATAGAACAAATTAATACGATATTAAATGAAACTGCAAAATAAAAATACAAATCAAACCTTAATTTCTGGTAATTTAAACTTGAATTCACGGTTTTGCTTTATAATATATGTATATATATAATGTTCATATATATATATATATATATATATATATATATATATATATATATATAACAGTCTATTAAAACATTTTTGAAATCAGTAAAATGTTAAACAAATAATGTCATCAGGCATCGATCTAATGTTAGTTTGCAGAAAAAATATTTATTGATGGATAAAGACTGAGAGCAATAAAAAACGTTCTGTGCAATTCCAGCAACAAACCAACTAATTCAAGGACATGACATAAAAAACATTTTAATACTTTTGTTCCTTCTTTCATATTTTATCTTCTCTCTCTCTCTCTCTCTCTCTCTCTCTCTCTCTCTCTCTCTCTCTCTCTCTCTCTCTCTCTCTCTCAGTCTCCAATGTTTAATGTTTCTTTATTAGTTTGCAGAGTTATGCCAAAAAACGACGCTACTCTACCAATAGGAAACATTTTATTTTGTTCCCAATAAAATTAATTGATGTCCCCAGAGATTATTTTAAATTGCACTACTTAATGTTTTTACAGGCTTCTTACAAATGGTTGCTTACAATTATTTTAACTGTTTAAAAAAAACTTGAACTTTAATTAATTAAAAATGAATTATGACTTTATTTATTTATTACGTTATTTAGTTTTTAAATTAAAAAGACAAAAATTATGCCAACTTTTCCAATTAATTGATCTTTAACCTAAAAAAATGTTGACATAATTTGCGTTAATTTTTGACAAACAAGTAAATATCTGTTTTTTAACTTGGTTTAATACCTGTTGATGTTTGTTTGACCTACATACGTCAACTTATAATTATCATACTTAATTAATGTTATAATTAATGAATACGTAATAAAATTAACTATGTTTGGAGTTCCACATAAATTCTCCATGCTCATAATTTGTTTTCAACCAGAAATCTGTTGATGAAGTTGTGTCAATAGTCGAGAGACTACAACTACAACCATTATGTTGTAATGAAATGATGACATTAAATTATAAAAACATCAACAATAATTAATGAACAATGACAAAAGCGATGAAGCAAATAATTGAAATAAAAATAATTTATCTCGCATAAACAGAAATCATTCATAGACAAATGAATCATTGTAAATTATCGGTCCTCTATTTGAGTTACAAAAAATAAATAATTAGAAATTTTTTCATGAGAGGTGATTCACATTTTGCCATTCAAGCAATCTTTATTTGTTTTTCGTGCCCCTAAAAAATGCTTGATAGAAAATGTTTGTTTACATTTGCAAACGAACAAATACCACGTATAGCTGGCAATTAACTTTTCATTGATTTGTAGTTATTCAGTCAATCCATCAAAAATTTATCAGGCATGCTAACAACTAACATATGTCTTTATTTTGGTTTTTAGTAAAAATTGAGAATTTTAAATAATATTTAGATGAATAAAAAATAGAACCACATAGTCTTTTATTGTATTATCAGGTACATCCTCACCCAAGAAAAAGTTATAGTAAAATTTTGCCGCACAATGCTGCAATAACATTCCATATTTTAGCGTCTGTTCGTGTTTCTCTTTGGCCAGACTTCCGTAATTAATGTTTCCAGATCGTTCCCGCAAATTAGGCGGACATGCATGTTTGGCTTGCGTTCAAGTAGAAATGCTGGTGCCCATAGTCTGAAAAGTGGCATTCTTTACTATTTTCTGTTCTACTTTAGATGTTGACCATAATTAAATTGGAGCGATATTTTAATTTTGGATTCATTTATGCGTTGAAAAATTGTTTGTCCGTATTTCTAAGAGTATTTATGCTAAAGAAAAATTTTGACCGTGTATATATATATATAGTTTATGTGGGAAGCTAGTGTTTCATGTTAGATATGACTTTTTTATGCTGCAAAACCGAGAACCTGCTACAAGCATTTCATTAGGTTGACACGTTGTTCGATGCGACAAGGGTTTCAACGGGAGTCATGCTATTTCTTCATTCATCTTCTGCTCTATAGTGCAAACATCTGCTCAATATTTCATGCAAAAATTTTGTTTTTTCCTACAACGTTTTTGCATTATTTACTGAAGAAAATGCACTATGCTAGTGTAAATAACATTTTTTATACATACAGCAACAGCTTGAAAACATCCGTTCAATTTTTCTTCAGATCGGGCTTTTCGGTGCTAAAATTGAAAGTCATAATCGTTAATGTGATCGACAAACATATTTGTACCTCCCTCCCCTTCCAATGGACGCACCTCATTCTCATCTTTGTCACGATGTTCATTTCTTATTTAATGATGTTTCACAAACATGGCTTGTTAAGAAATTTTGGTTGCTTTAAATTGTTTGAAGGTGTTTGTAGGCCAAGCAAAATTTTTCACAACTTATTTCGTGGTATATACAAAAATTAAAACCAAATTAATTATACAAAAAATCTTTATTTATTTTTATACTTTTTTTAAAATTCGATTTTAACAACAAGTGCATGCATGTAAGGTTTTGTTGAGAAATAATTTCCATGGAAGGACATTGGGCGAACTACTAATTACGACATGAAACTCACGGGAGACAACCCACGCTGTTCTTTTTAAAGGAGTTGATAGTTAGCAGAAAAAACGGACATTAGTTTGAGAAGATTAGCCTAATGTAACAAGCAACCAAACAAGTCAATAGATCCAAAAAATTATATTAATGTTTTATTCTGAGCTTAAGCTGACTGAACTGAAAACAAAATTAAAATAACATTAAGAATTGGACCGAATATTTCAGAGACAGCAACAAAAATGTTTGCAATTCATGTTCAAGTGTTGCGTAATTAGATTATTCTGATTAAATTTTATGTTCTTCATAGATTATCATTTTTAATTGATTCATCAATTATGTTTAAAATTTTTTCATTTTTTCAAATCAAAGATGCCTTTTATTAAAAAACTTTTTTTCCAAACTTTTTCTTATTAATGAATGAAATATTTCATTTTTGTATCTCAACTTTTTTTTTAATTTAAAATTTGATATAATAATTCATAAAAATTTTTTTCTCTGAAAAATAGAAGCAAAAATTAAAATCAGACTAATTGGATAAAAACACCAAAAAGCTGATTAAAGTTTATGTCCTTCGGTACAAAAAAAGGTTGCCACAAATTTTTTTATGAACAAATTTAAAAATTATGATCTGTAATGATCTGATACAGTAAAACCTTATACACGGAAACAAGGAAATAACATTTGTGTGTGTGTGTTTATACAATGAAAGCAGAAATATCTCACAGCTACAACTCTTATTTCACTTTGTTAGTTTTAAATGAACCGCACCAATTATGATGAGTCATTTGGATGTTTAGAAAATGGAAATGGATTGTAAACAGGAACGTGAAAACGGAAGAGGACAATACAATTAGAGGTCAGTTGAGTGATACAATGATTGCAAGGGGTGTAGCTGCTTGAAGAGACGCATCATATATACGTCCAGTGGGCCGGTTTCATATCCAACCACCGATATAAATTGCTTGTTTTATTGCCTCTGCAGTTGCATATTTGAATGGATAAATTTGTGGTTTGTTTCAATATTCATTGTAATAAATTGTGTCTCTTTTCCAACGTTTGGCATGGATTTGATGATTTAAAAAAGTATTCAAAACACGTCACATAAATACTTAACAAAACAAAATAACGCATTTAAGTTGAAGTAAAAACAAGTAATAAAAACGTTTGAGAGAAGCAAGTTTAACCTAAACGTCTAATGAAAATATAATGCAAGATTACAAATGGAAACCTGAATAAATGCTAACTATTAATATTACAGAAATAAAAACGAAATGTTAAAAATTTTCTGAATGTGCAATCAAGAATTTAGCGGATGTGATGTGAGACACTTGTGCTTATGCTGATGACCACTAGCTTTCAAAAACTTAATGTACATGCTGCCAGTGCACTCAAGTGCATAACGTTTTTGAGTATGAAAGCGATGGAGAACAGAAATTGTTTTTATTGAAAAATAATGTTGCCAAATCATATCCTAAAAAATTGAATAAAATTCAGAAATTATTTGTTACATTACTAATACTTTTTGAAATCATTTCAAACGAGCATTATTTTTTAATACGATCGATTGTTTTTTAATTTTTCATTAAATAATTCTGTTGAATTTATTGAAAATATTTCATCCTTGTTTGAGGTTCTCTCAAACTTCTACATGTGCTGAACTGAAAACGTTTTTCAACGAACTTTTTAAAAATTTCCGTTCATAATTTCTTTTTCACTTTGTTGTTAAAATTGTGTTTAAAAATATTCCTTTTTTCTAGTAGGAAAATCTACTCAGAAAATTTCTTGGTTATGTTATTATCATCAGAGTTTCTTTTTAATTATTTTGGCCGTAAATGCCCAACTGTCGGCATGTGATGAAACTAGCGTAATGCTATAAATTATTAAGAAATTTTTATCTGCAAAAAAATTTAATTTCTCTAACATGCAGTTAAAAATAATTTTTCATTGAAAATACATCTTACATATCGCTAAAACACGAACAAAAGGATTATTTTAATAACTCAAAGTAACTTATATAAATAGAAGTTTTCAACAATAGCAGAAATAGAATTTTTGTAACTAAAACATCATATATAAATATAAATTGAGGCACATTTTTCTGTTGATGGCAAATTTTTTTGACTTTCATAATAAGTTATTTCATTTCAAAAACATGTAAAACGTTACAAAAAATCTTGCAACACTGCTTATAAGTTTTAAATAGATAGAAATATAAAATTAATGATAAAATTAATCGAGAAAGAAATACAAATAGTAGATACATAAATACATCGGATAGGTACGAACCTGAACCTCAAGGGCATGGTAAGCCACGATGAGAGTAAGCAGGACAAATGTGCTGATTGTTATCAACGACTTCACGGCAGACGAGTAGAACGACTCCTGCATCAACAACAACAACAAAGACTACCATGTTAAATGAATATTTTCAAACCTCTCATACAGAATCATAATGTTGTAGTGAAATTGTAGTGGGTGATAAATAAATACAAGAAAAAAGAAAATATTAATGAACGATAGTAATAAAAGATAGGAGGTTTTTTGTTATTAATGAGGTTTTATGCTGTACTAGTTCAATAAAGACGGACACGAAATATTGCGATGTTAGTTCACAATGACAACAGAGTTTGTGAAATAAATGTTTCTTTTAACGGTTGACTTGTCATTTTCTGCCAATAACTTTTGAATCGTGAAAATATATTTAGCAGCCAGAAAAAATAAATTGTCAATAAATTTAAATGAATTAATGATTTATAAATTTCAAAAGAGATAAAATTTCAAACACATCCACTGCAGTCAAATATCAATCTTGATGCATTTAACATACAACAACAAAATGACTACAAAACATTTCAATCTGCAATTTGAACCAATATTTTCATTCACCACTCTGTTGTCACAACCAAACATTCAATGAAATTATGTTGCCAGTTCACAATACGTCAATGAATCATATCAAGTAGACCTTGGAAGAATTTGTCGGTTAGGAAGCAATGGCATTCCGTGATGGAAGCTGATTGGCAGCGACATCTTCCAGACGTTCATCATCATCAAATTACTCCATAAGTGCATAAGTGGAAACCAACTTTCTTTTCATTAAGGATGTTGACATGTGCTTGTGCAATCCACTTCGAGCAGGCATTTGTTGCTCATCAGTTGTTTGATTAGTGCATAACTCGTTAAAATTGTGTAGCTCATCTTGTCACCATTCTCATCATCATTATCAACAATATCATCATTAACATTGTTTTTATCATTAATTTCTTTTCTTTAATGATTATACCTAATGATTCAAATCAATTAAAATCGCTCATAAGATTAAATTGATACATTAACAGAAAGCTGCTGCAATAAGTCCACGTGTGAATTTGTGTGAACTTGTGCACGTTGTATGCTGCTCGTGCAGAGAGTTATTTTTAAACTTTAGGCTTATTATTTTTCTGGTCGGTTTTAACTTTTTAAAATTTAAAGTGAAGCATTGCAGATTCATCATAAAATATTATTTACGATGATAACGAAGTTGTATGCGATGATTAGGAAGATGTTGCAGACGATGTTGCGACTTATTACTATTCATAATCAACATCATTATCCACGAAATGAGAACAATTTTTAGAACTAACAAGTCTTTCAATACTTTTTATTTTCTTCCAACCCTCTGTGACAACAACAACATTTGAAATTTTTCCATTTTATTATCAGCCGTTCGGACAGAACGTACTTTGACATTAATATTGCAACTATTAAAATATCGTTAAAATCATCATCTCTATTTCCATCCCATCATCCTCTCCATCACCATTACATCAATACTTACAGTATCTTCATCATCATCACGTCATTACTTCATATACAATATCACACATGCACAACACACACACAAACACACACACACAACATCATTATCTCATCGTTATATAAAAATTCTTCCTCACCAATGCCATCATCATAAAATCATATCCAGCCAGCGTTTCATCATCTCGGTTTGGAATGTTTGAAATAAATGTTTCAGATTACTATGTCATGTTATCATATTTTGGAATGTAGAATCGGAACGTTGAGTGGAGCCATGGAGACGGCAGAATTCTCAAGTGCCTCGTACAACGCAGGCCTCCTTCGGTACCTTTCTATGTTGGGTAGGTCCATGTATGAATGAGTCTAGTAAGTTTTTTTTTTTATTTATAAAAATCCATGTTGATACAAGGTGAGTTTGTTCCGAGATTCAACAATTAAAACATGAATAACATTTATTTTAGGTTTCCAGGTGACTATGGGACATATATTAACGTGGAAACTTATGTATAAATTAACAAATTCTTAACAAGAATCAAGAATGTTTATATTAAAAAATTAATGGAAAAAATCTGGTTAGTTATTAATTTTAACTAAATTTAATAGGTATTTATAATAACTTTCAGCACTTTTTTCAAATTATCAGATAAAAAAAAGTTTTAATTCATTTAAACCGATTTTGAAAAAAACTATAATTAATATTAACAGTGGGAATTTAATATTTGCAAGCTGAGTTCTCTGATGTGACACCGTGTTCTTTTGCTCGCCAGGCAAGATGTCTAGTTTATTTACTATGGAACTGTACGCACGTGACATTCAAAGGATTATATTTAACATAATGTATTGAAAAACATACGGTTCATTTTGATATGTAGTTATATACTGTATACATATGCATATATTATATATATATATATGTATATATATATATATATATTATATATCTATATATATATATTTGCAAATTTACTACTATCTATATCACTACCTTTAATGAAATAATGTCAATGGTTGTGAATTTTTAAAAAAACCAAATCACGAAAAAAAGAAGGACCATTTTTTTCTAACAGATCATTCACAAAGAGGGCAACATTTAATAGCCAGCAGTTATTTGCTGAAATAAAACTGAACTCAATTTTTTAAATAACAAATTTACTAAACTATTTAGAATAAAAGCAAGCTACGATTCGCATTGTTCTTTTTGATTGAAAATATTTCTCCCCCATATCACTAAATTTGGCTTATCAGCATTATTATTACATTACTAATCTCAAGGACAGCATATCACATTACGGCAAGACAATGAAACAAGTTTAAAACTTGTCTGCCAATGAAGGTAGGAGACGTAGACGAGGATATAAATTAATTAGATGTTCAAACAGTTCACCAACCGAGCAGACCACGCCTTGCTCTTAATTATTCTTACTATAAATGATTTTCTCAAATCTCATCAACTCAACCTAAGCAGGCTTATGAACGAACACAACACACACACGCGTGCGCACACACTCACACAAACACACGCAAACACAAACAAACACACATATATACAGAAATTCATACACGCCACACACACACCAAACACATACACAAACACACATTTCTAAGTAAAAAAATAAGAGGAGTCCAGGCAAGTCACATCCAAAATGGTCCATATTGGCAAACATGATGACATCGTCCTACTGATTCATCCCTACACTTTCATATTTTCTAAGAACTTTCCCAAGCCAATCAAAAATATCAAGGATTCGCCACAGAATAAAGCCAGGTTGATGGCAGCAAAATGGGCCAAGAGCAATCCAAAATATCGCCTGTGGTACAAGACTAGACGCTGCGTCCTTCAGATTGAGTTTGGGTTTGAGGCTTGTTTTTGATTTCTTGAGAATGTTGCCAAATGTCTTTCTGTACGAGACCCAAAATCTAACATTTTTAACCATGTTTTAAACCATGGGCTCATACCAACACACATGCACAAAAAGAAACACATGCACAAATACAAAATATCGCATACAGGCGGACACACAGGCGGACACATTTATTGAATTTTTCTTAAAAATAACGTGATTTAAAAAATACGTTAGTTATTTAGTGAAAATTGTTATAAATGTAACCTGAGTAGATAGTACACAAAGTTCACTAAGTACATTTGAGCTATTGTATTGAAAAAATCTATAGAGGGGTTCACTTGATTTGCAACATTACATCAAGGAAATAGCAACGCCTTTGAAATTAACTCACTGGAAGTCCAGTACAAATACCGCAACATCATTTAATACATAACAAAGCAATGCAATACAATGCAATACAATACTATGCAATACAATACAATACAATACAATAAAATACAATACAATACAATACAGTACAGTACAATACTATACAATACCATACAATGCTATGCTATGCAACACAATACAATACAAAATAAAACAGTACAACGCAATACAATACAACACAACACAATACATAACAACACAATTTACAATACAATACAATACAATACAATAAAAAGTGACTCAAAGTACGATGAATATGATAATATTTACACGTTTTTTTACATGATGTACTCTACTGTGTAGAGGTGTAAATAAAACATTTTATGATTGTGTAAAAAAAAATAATCGATACCCTAAAACCAGGGATGAATAAAAATTTAGATGGAAAGTTTAAAAACGTGGAACCATGTGACATTTACTGGCGGTTTCATATACGAACGAACAGTGATTTATCTCTATTTCATACTTGCCTCTCAGTTCACAACTACATGAAACCACATTCACTGGATAGCATTATGAAACAAGTTGGATGACATTTCAATTTAATTTTGGAAGCCTTTAAACGGAAGAAATGCCTAAATGCAAAAGTTTAATAAAGCTTAGCGCTTAGAAAATAAAGTAAGAACTTTTTTCATGTTATACATTATATTCTGCCAGATAACAAGGAATATTTTCATAATGTAAAAGTTAAAACGAAACCATAAAAGTGTTAAACAATAATGAGCAGGATTATAAAAATTTTTGAAAATTCTAAATTATTTTTAAAAATTTAAGAATTTATTTTCCAAATGATGCACATATGTTTTAATAAAAACCTCTGACCATTTTTACATATGGAAAAGCAGGTAGGCAGAACACAATATTTGAGAAGGAGAGGTTGCTTAATGAACGCATTAACAAAGCAAACATTTGCTAACCCTCGCCTATATTTCAAACTCTGATAAAAAGTTGGATATTTTTACAGAGCGGCTTTTAGTGCATTTGACATTTTTTATCCAAACTTTGTAATTTGTGTTATGGACTCAGTACAGTCCTGCCCATTTAATGATCATCATCACGACTATCATCATCTTCATCATTATAATCAACATCATCATCATTATTTTCACCATCGTCATCATCACCATCATCCTTATCATTACCATAATCATTGAATCTGGTGCTATTTTTCAAATATATTATGACTGGTTACAAATAAAATACTGTTGGTGAAGTTTAAGTAAGTGAAGAAGTATATAGAAACAAAAAAGTAAAAATTCAGAACAAAAATTTTTCACAAATTCTGTATAAAAATAAAATAAGAATTCTTTGGGA